CAATGTATTCATTCACCATCCCTCTCTCCTCTTTCTCATCCCCCTAAATTTTTCTCCTGATCACCTTGGTATTTGAAAATATATTTGGTAAATTTTGAAAAATAAAGTAATCCATGAGTATGTTAAATAAAGTGAAGAAAAAGGCCACTGCTGGGGAAAATTAGAGCTAAACTCTAAGCAAATCAGACATTTACTATAGTTTTTGAGAAAAGCATCACAATAGAGACCATGATACAAAGAAAGCACAACAAAGAGTAGTGGTGAGATTATTAGTGTTATCAAACTGCTTAAGTGTCTTCTGTCAAGGCACATGGAAAGGCATTTTCAGTTATTACTCTTCTGCTGTAAGGATTAATATATCATACTTGCTACAGAAACCTTAATTCAATGTATTAAGTTATATTAGGCATCAAGCTATATTAAGTGGATAAACATTTAAATTATGGAGGGCAAATAGCTGCAAAAGGGAGGAACCGAGAACCACAGAAAATCTGCCATTGCTTTGCTAAGTTCGTTTGAGCCACCTACTCAAGTGTTTTATTCAAACCCCAAATGGGAGGCACAAAGCCATTCCCAAGTCTTTCAAACACGCCTTCTTTCTTCATCTGCCTCTTTCCTCCTTTAAAAGCAGCACCCACAAGATTGCACAGTTTTCTTACCTAAGACAAAAATTCAATTTAGTGTCTTAGAGAAAGGCCTTCAGCAAATATTAGCCTCCAGGGTTCTATGAGCAGAGTACTAGCTATGTTGTAGGCATTCATTACATGCTTATTGAATAAATGAGTAACTGAATGAATAAATAAAACATCTCACCCCTTTGCTGCCAATGTGGTACTTGACATTCAAGGCAGCACTGAGCTTGGGAGAGCAACATCAGGGAAATGAGAAACTGACCATACACAAAATACTTCCTTATCTCTTTCAGATAGCAATGACTTCCTTAGATGCCCTGAGCTTTTAAGTGCTGATGCTCTCCCCAGAAGGTTTTATGAAGGGACTGTGAGATATTGTCTCAAAAAGAATGATGGGGAGATTACCCTGGATTATCCGGGTAAACCCAATGTAATTACAAGCATCCTTAAAGAAGAAGTAAGGCAGAAGAAAAGGTCAGAGTGACACAATATGAAAAAGACGTGACCCACTGTTGCCAGCTCCGAAGATGGAGGTAGAGGCCTCAAGTCGAAGAATGTGAGAAGCTTCTAGAAGATGTAAAAGGCAAGAAAATGGATTCTCTCCTAGAGCCTACAGAAAGAAACACAGTCTTGCCTACACTTTGATTTCAGCCCAGTGACCCATGTTGAACTGCTGACTCCCAGAACTGTAAGATAATAAATTTACCTTATTTTAAGGCACCAAACTTGTGGTAATAAAAAACGGAGGGTCAGTGAAGAAGAGTGAAGGACTTGAGAGGCACATAGAATGGTTTTGTCATTACTAGGCATGGGACTTTAGGAAATTTTGTTTTATGTCTTTGAGGCTTCATTTTCTTATTGTTATAATGAGTGAAAACTAGCAACCTCTAAGGCTACTTTTGATGTTAAGTGAGATCACATCTTTGAACTGCCCAGCTCCAGGCCTGACACACTATGGGTGCTCGTCATCGCTATCTCTCTTCCTCTTCTTCTTCCTACCCTCCTCAGTTACTGAGTGCTAGGACACAGTGTAGGAATCACAAAACCAAACCAAACAAACAGAGAGAGAGAGAGAGAGAGAGAGAGAGAAAGGAAGCACAGAAAAAAAGAATGGAGAAAAAAAGATAAGTAGAAGAG